CCCAGTACGAGCACCTCCGGGACCGGCGGCACCAGCACCCTCAGCAGCCGAAGAAGCTCAAGCTCCAGCAGAACGCCTACAGCGCCGGGCAAACCACTCGCGCAGCTCCTGTGAAGAGAGTGGCTCCCGCCGAGACGAAGCACCCGGAGGACCTCCAGGCCCAGCACCGCCAGACGCCACACGAGCAGGCCCAGCGGCCGCCGGCTCCGCACCCCCAGGCTCAGCAGCTCCAGACGTGGCACCCCCAGGCTCAGCACCCCCAGGCTCAGCACCCCCAGGCGTAGCACCCCCAGGCTCAGCAGCTCCAGACGCAGCACCCCCTGGCTCAGCACTCCCACGCTCAGCACCCCCAGGCTCAGCACCCCCAGGCCCAGCACCCCCAGTCGCAGTACCCCCAGGCTCAGCACCCCCAGTCGCATCACCCCCAGACTCAGCACCCCCAGGCTCAGCACCCACGCGCGCAACACCCCCAAAGTCAGCACCCCCAGGCTCAGCACCCGCAGTAGTACCAGAGTCAACAGCAACCTCGACCGGCTCGATTGCGTCTACCTGGGACACACCTGAAGGGGCAGGACCCTAAGGGGGAAGGGGGTCTACCGGGGGGGGACCTGGCACGAGGAAGTGCAGTGGCGGGGGGAGGGAAGGAGTGCGGTAGGGGAAGAGGCGGTAGAAGGGGACCGACTCGTCGAACGTGACGTCGTGGGAGGACAAAACACGACGAGAGGAGGGGTGGTAGAACTGCCACCCTAGTGCGTCAGGGGGGAAGCCAAGGAAGACACAGGGAGCAGCACGAGGGGACAGCTTGTCCGCAGACAAGTCGTGGACAAACGCCCGAGATCCCCAGACACGGAACGCAGACGCATCGCCAACCTTCCCCGTCCACAGCAGAGCTGGGGAGGTCTCCGGCCGGGAGACCCTGGGCTGAAGGTTGATCTGATGCGCCGCGTACCGAACCGCAAACGGCCACAGAAAATGGGGGGCAGCCGCATGCATCATGGACGTACGAGCGACGTCCATGACCATGCCAATGCGGCGCTAAGCTATCCCATTTTGCTGTGGAGAGTCCGGAAGCGTGAAGGTCTGGCGGATGCCTCGCGCACGATAGAAGGCTCGCAGAAGGCCAGAGGAGAACTCTCCGCCTCGGTCAGAGTACAGACGCAGAACAGGAAAGTCCGAGCCGAAGCTCCTCCTGAGCTGGAGACGAGCTGCGCGGATCCAGTCGATCAACACCTCAGTGACATCACCCTTGCTGCGCAAGGGGAAGACTGTGGTGTAACGCGAGTAGTCGTCAACCACCAGCAGGAAGTAGCGCTCGTGACCCTGTCCACGGACGCGGGCCGGGCCGCACACGTCCATGTGAAGCGTCTGCAGCGGGGCCTCTGTCGGGGGAAACTGAGAGGAGTGAGGGGCAGCCCGCAGCCGCCCCTCGACACAGGGGATGCAGGTAGGGCCAGGCCCCGGAGGAAGGGGAGGGAGGGACCGGGGAAGACCAGAGACAAGGACACGGGAGGCCATGCCTCGGAGACGAGGCAGGGAGGGGTGACCAAGGCGGTGGTGCCAGAGGAGAGTCTCGTGAGACAGGAGGCGACACGAGCAGGGGGCAGACTCAGGACCAGACCTGGACGCTGCAGCAAACACCTGACCCGACGCAGCTACGTGACCAGACGCAGGGACAGGAGGAGACTCAGTGGTCAGGGTGTACAGGCTCGACCCCGGCCGACGCGTAAACGTGGCCAGGTGTTGGCCTGTGCGAGCGTCCAAGCAGTGGGTCACTCGCTGACTCGCAGGAGTAAACTGGTGAACCCCCGCATCCTGTAGGTCAGCACCACTCACCAGGTTCGTAGAGAACGAGGGGAGGTAAAGACCAGACAAGGTGCCAGAGGGGGCCGCTAGACATGGGAGGACAGTGGAGAAGTGAGAAAGGACAGGACCCCTAGAGGGGTCTGCCAGGGAGACTGCAACCGGCCGACCAAGCGGCGTGAGTGTGGTGCGGTCTCGAAAGAAGGAGCGAGAAGCCCCTGAGTCAAGTGTGCAGGTGAGGGAGGTCGAAGCCGACGCGGTACCTGAGAGCGCAGACTCACCAGCACCTGAGGACGCAGACGCACTGGCACCTAGAGCAGCAGCCTCACTGGCACCTAGAGCAGCAGCCTCACCAGTAACTAGAGCAGTAGTCTCAATGCCCGGGCCGGGCGGGAAACAACGGTAACAGTCACCCTCATCACTAATAGTCACAGCATACATGGCAGCAAGAATAGCATCAAAGTCAAGATCAAAGATAGCTACACCCGCCCTAGACAGCTCACCCTAGCGGGGGATCTCAGTGGCCTCCGGGAACTGGTGACGCCAAGCGTCCGTCAGGCGGCCAAAGCAGCGTTGGGTGGGGTGTGCACCCCCACACTGCTCACCCGCGCGGTCGCTGGTGCGTAGGACGTAGGTGCACGGACCGGTACCCCCACCACGCTGACGTGCAGCGTACAACTCACGGAGCTGCTGAGAGGGGGGGATGTCCCGAGAACGCTGCTGCTGCTGCTGCTGGCGCTGACCACCACCGGAGCCGCCCCGCTGCGTAGCGCCACACCGACCAGCTCCACCTCCTCCACCTCCGCCACCACCGCCGCCTCCGCTCCCACCGCTACCGCCTCCGCCGCCTCCGCCTCCACTGCCGCCACCGACACCTCCAACCCCGCCACCACTCCCACCGCCACCCCCACTCCCTCCGCCGCCTCCACCACCCCTGCTAGCTCCTCCAGCGCCCCTGCCCCCCTTGCCCTTGCCAGAGCGGCGTCTCCCGCTGGGGGTAGACGCCGCACCGACCGACTCAAGACCAACGAGGTCGGTCGCAGCAGCAGAGGCGACAAAGGGCAAAAGGGGGGAGGGGGAACACCCCTCAAAGATGGGGGTGCGAGGGTCACCACGAGAGGCTCCTACAGCGACTATGCTCTTCTCCGCTCCTAAGAGGGCCTTCTCGAGGAGGTCAACAGTGAGAGTGGTGGGACAGACTGAGAGGAAGTGGTCTCTGACTACACGAAGGGAGTCAAGGAGGCGGGTGACTATGTAGTAGAGAGTGATGTACATGGGGGGGGGGGGTTCCTGGCGCAGAACTCAGCAGGAAGCGCAGCGCAGTAGCGAGTGTCACTAGTGCGGAGGTGCGTAATGAGGTCAGCAACTGTGGGAAAGGCAGCAAGGTCAGGAAAGAGGTACGGTAGCATGAGGCGGCTCAGTGCAGCAGCGGCAGGGGAAGAGTAGCGCGCAACTACAGCATCGTACAAGGTCTGAGCACTCTTGTACTGACTAAAGTGCGCGCGCTCAGTGGTAGGCAGGTGGCGACGCACAGCAAGACGTGCAGCAGCATCGCGAGTGGCCCACTGTGAGCGAACAGTGGCGTCGCCATCGGCAGCAGGGGCAGGGGAAGCACCAGATGTGAGGTCAAAGAGGGAGAGACCGTCTGCCCTATCGCACTGTAGGAAAAGCTGCAGGTCATCTACCCAGACGTCAAAGTCAATGGTCCGACCCTCAGCGTCAAAAGTGAGAACACTGGGGGTAGCCATGACAGCAGTAGACTAGCAGCGCTAACTGTAGAGCAGGGGCAGTGTAGTGACAGAGGCGCTGCACTCACCAGACAGGGCGGTTCGGGCAGCTCGGGCGGCTCGGCAGCAACTGCGGCTCGGCGGCACCCGCGGCTCGGCTCCTCAGCTGCTCAGGCGGCTCGGGCGGCTCGGGCGGCTCGGGCGGCTCGGGTGGCTCGGGCGGCTCGGGCGGCTCGGGTGGAACGGGCGGCTCGGGCTGCTTAGCGGCGCGGGCAGCTCGGCTGCTTAGGCGGTTCGGGCGGTAGGGGACGAGGCCGGGACCGCAGGTAGTGCGCCGGGGCCGCAGGTAGGGCGGCGGGGCCGTTGGTAGGGCGGCGGGGCCGCAGGTGGGGCGGCGGGGCCGCAGGTAGGGCGGCGGGGCCGTAGGTAGGGCGGCTGGGCCGCAGGTAGGGCGGCTGGGCCGCAGGTAGGGCGGCTGGACCGCAGGTAGGGCGGCGGGGCCGCAGGTAGGGCGGCTGGGCCGCAGGTAGGGCGGCGGGGCGGGGCCGTAGGTAGGGCGACGGGGCCGGGTCGAAGGTAGGGCGACGGGGCCGGTACGCAGGTAGGGCGACGGGGCCGGGGCCGGGGCGCAGGTAGGGCGACGGGGCCGGGGTCGGAGGTGGGGCGACGGGGCCGGGGTCGCAAGCAGGGCGACGGGGCCGGGGCCGGGGCGCAGGTAGGGCGACGGGGCTAGGGCCGGGGCCGCAGGTATGGCGACGGGGCCAGGGTCGCAAGGGGGGCGACGGGGCCGGGGTCGCAGGTAGGGCGACGGGGCCGGGGCGCAGGTAGGGCGACGGGGCCGGGGCGCAGGTAGGGCGACGGGGCCGGGGCGCAGCTAGGGCGACGGGGCCGAGGCGCAGCTAGGGCGACGGGGCCGGGGCCGTAGGTAGGGCGACGGGGTCGCTAGGGCGACGAATCAGGGGCCGCTAAGGCGGCGCGACTTGGCCGCTAGGGCGGCTTGACGAAGTCAGAGAAGGGAGCGCGACTCGGGCTGAGCGCGCTCCGGGCTGGAAAAAAAACTTTCGACTTGGTGGGCCCTAGGCACAGTTCCCACGAGGGAACCTGCTCGATACCATGAGAAAACTGAAACGAGAATGAATGCACTAAGGAATGGAATGTGGTACAAATGTGCAACTCTAGAAATGTGTACCCCATATAGGCTACCCCACTACAGCCTACAGAACATCATGATTTGACACGTAGTACCATATGGTTGGCAGTTCCCGCAGCACATTCACACTCTTGCAGAATATGGCAGGAGCAGCAAGACCACCAGAGGCAAGCAGAGGCAAGCAGTCAGGCGCCATGTTTTTCGAGACACCACAAGTTTCCGCTAGTTCTTCGATTGCGGCTGTCCTGCGGGGATTCGTGAGTCGTCCCTTACCAGCAACTGGATTCGGAGCAGAAGGCTGCATCTAGCCCGAGGCTGCATCGATGCGAGGGACTCTGATTGCTGCCAAAAACATTCATTCCCGGGGTGAGCACTGAAGTTAGTATTTCAGGCTGAGAGACTATTTTCGAGGGAGTTACTCCGAGGATGGAGACCATTTTCGAATCATCATCAGGGATGGCTTGATCTGGAATCCAAATGTTCCGAAGAGTAGCGACTCATCGCAAAAGTCCAAGGCTCAACAACTTTTCCGCAACTTTTGAACGCCCCGGAAACAAAAACCCAACCCTGGTGGTTATGTGTTTCAATTTTAAAAAATCGAGTCATTTTTGTCAGCGCCGCGTCATTTCTCACCGTGACGACGTCACGCAACGAACGTAACTCTCTGCATTTCGTTGCTGATATCAGCAAGCGCCGCGGCGGGAGCTTCTGCATGACAGGAACTGCTCTAAATTCTTGATTGCACCGCCTTCTGAACCTTAGTGATCCCAAATGGTGATCCCTTCACCATCATCACCATCATCACATCAACACCGCCGATCCCATGCGCAACCGCCTCCAGCGCCGGCGGCGGCGCGGAATCCGGCGGCGCCGCCGCAGCAGTGGAGCCAAGCGGCTGGCGCTCGCGCTGCCGCCGCCATCGCCTTCGCAAGCGCCGCCGCACAGTCGGCGCGCTTCTCCGTAAACCCCACCCTGGACACTGCCGCCTCCTCCGCCGCCTCTGCCGCTGCCGCCGCCGCGGGCGCCGCAGGCGCAGCTTCTGCCACCGGGCCAGCCTGGGGGAGCTTTTTGCGGAATCCGCCGATTCTCCCCTTCCAAACGCTCTCTGCATCCGCCCCGGGGCCACTGGGAGGCCCTCTTGCCTTCGGAGCTGCCTTTACCGGAGCAAGCGGGATGGCTTTCCTCCTCCTCCTCCTCCCTCTCCACCATTCGCTCGGCGGTCTCTCTCCATCCTTCCCCATTCCTCCTCCCTTTTCCAATCCTCCCTTCCCCAATTCTCCCTTCCCCAGGGGCTCCTCCTTTCCGTCTCCTCCATTTCCCTGAGTTTATCCTGAGAACGAAAACAACCCAAAACTCAAGCCATTTCAGCTAGCCTCCTCCTCCTCCTCCTCCTCCTCCTCCTCCTCCTCCTCCTCCTCCTCCTCCTCCTCCTCCTCCTCCTCATCCTCCTCCTCCTCCTCCTCCTCCTCCTCCTCCTCCTCCTCCTCCTCCTCCTCCTCCTCCTCCACCCTTTCCCCCTCTTCCAACTGCTTTCCCTCTCCTTGACACACGCCAGGTCGCGTCATCACCTGTCGTTGCCATGTCAGCAGGCGTCGGCTCCAGGTGCTGGGCTGCAAAGACTGAGGTTCCTCCAGGCAGCGAGGCGACTTCTGGATCCGGGCGGCTTCTTTTGGAGACACAATTATTGCTGCTGCCCAGTCCTGCACGTGGTTCAATTCCCAACTCTTTATGTGGCGCTTCTCCTGCTACAGTTAACCCCCCGGTACAAGGTCGCTCGTTACAGTCCCAGACGGTACCAGCAGTGCTAGGATCATACTCGGTACACACAAGCGTTCCTTCTCCTCGTCTGCTGAATTTGTTTGGATCCCAGTCAGACGAAGACTGTATAACCCAAAGGGGAGATGGGCTAAACGCAGGACAAGTAAGGATATGGGTAGGGGAAGGAGAAGAGCAGGAGAAGGAAGGATGCGGGGAAGAGTGGGGGAGAATAAGGGAAGGGGAAGGAGAGGGGAGGAGAGGGGTGGGAGAAGGGGGGATAAGGGAGAGGGAAGACAGCAGAAAAGAGGGGGAAGGGAGGACAAGGGAAGGGGAAGAGAGGAAAAGGGAGGGGGAAGGGAGGAAAAAAAAAAGGGGAGCAGAAGGCAAGGCAGAGCGTATAGAGGGTAGTGGTGCCTCTAGAGAGGATGAAGAGAGAACGGATGAGACAAGTTGTGATGGAGAAGAGAGGAGGGATGACGAAGATAGAAGAGTGGCCATGAGGGGGGGTATGGGGATGGATGAAGAGATGGGAGTAGGCATGGGTACAGGCATGGGTACAGGAATGGGTACAGGTATGGGGACAGGCATGGAGGTAGGCGTGGGAACAAGCATGGGGACAGGCATGGGAACAGGCATGGGGACAGGCATGGGGACAGGCATGGGAACAGGCATGGGTACAGGCATGGGTACAGGCATGGGGACAGGCATGGGAACAGGCATGGGGACAGGCATGGGGACAGGCATGGGAACAGGCATGGGTACAGGCATGGGTACAGGCATGGGTACAGGCATGGGTACAGGTATGGGGACAGGCATGGAGGCAAGCGTGGGAACAGGCATGGGGACAGGCCTTGGAATAGGAATAGGGACAGGCATGGGGACAGGCATGGGAACAGGCATGGGTACAGGCATGGGTACAGGCATGGGTACAGGCATGGGTACAGGCATGGGTAGAGGTATGGGGACAGGCATGGAGGCAGGCGTGGGAACAGGCATGGGGAGAGGCATGGGAACAGGCATGGGGACAGGCATGGGGACAGGCATGGGAACAAGCATGGGGACAGGCTTGGGGAAAGGCTTGGGGACAGACATGGGAAGAGATAGCACAGGGTTTGGGAGCACGCGTTACAATAACAGAGACCAACACTAAGGAAGCAGGTGAAGCTTCAGTCGTGGGTACAGTCTTGTTTACGGACATGGGGAGCAGAGGCGTTGCAATGACAGATACTGCCGCTGATGCTGCTGAATTGTCTCATCTGCAGGAGCGATATCAACTGGCTCTGCTGCGGCAACTGGGGCTGCAGCAGCTGCTGCTGCAGCATCAGCAGCAGCAGCATCAGCAGCAGCAACAACACCAACAGGCTTTGCTACAGCAGGTCCGTCAGCAAACCCAGCAGCAGCAGTCGCAGCAGCAGAGTTACTGGATGGATCCTCTGCAGCAGCAGCAATACTAGTTGCAGCTGCAGAAGCAGCAGCAGCAGCAGCCGCAAGGCTTGTTCCAGCAAGGCTTGTTGAAGCAAGCTTTGTTGCAGCCAGCTGAGCAGCAAGCTTTGTTGCAGCAAGCTGGGCAGCAAGCTTTGTAACGCCTCTGATCATCAGCGCTTCTGTACTATGATCACAAGGTGTTCCGTTATGCTGACGGGAGAAGCCGAGACATATTATCAGATCTGCCGGCTAGAACTATTGGACTGGGCAGAGCAGGGAAGGCTGGGGAACGAGATCCCACGAAACGATTCTTGCAGATGCTGCGGGATCAGTTCCCACTGCAAACGCCAGAGCGAGTCGTCGAATTCCAAAACTTCAAACGGAGAACGGGAGAGTCCCTGCTGGCGTATTACGGGCGGGTGGTAGAGCTCGGGGGAGACATGAGCTGTGTGGATCAATGACGTCTCGTCAGCAAGTTCCTAAACGGCCTGAACTACGAGCTGCAACGGGACGAACAGTTGAAGATCTTCGAGATGGGGGCAGCTGCGACGCTAAGGATCACATACGAGACGGCAAAAAGGGTGGAAATGGGCAGACGACTAATCGAGGTGGAGCGTACGGGAGAGAGATCGGCGAATAGGCGGAGGCCGGCATGGAGCGCAAGCCCAGTGGAGTATGAGAGACCGGCAAGAGGCCCAACGGACACGAGGAAGTGTCACAACTCCAGCAAGGGCGGTCACCTGTGTCAAATCATAATGTTGTCTAGGCTATAGTGGGGTAGCCCATATGGGGTACACATTTCTAGGGTTGCATATTTGTATCACTTTCATTCCATAGTCATTCATTCTCGTTCTAATCTTCTCATGGTATCGAGCAGGTTCCCCCTTGGGAACTGTGCTTAGGGCCCACCATATCGAGTTTATTTTTCCTGCCCGAAGCGCGCTCAGCCCGAGTGGCGCTCCGGGCCCTCACTTCGTCGAGCCGCCCTAGCGGCCCTTCGCTGCGGCTCCGCCGCCCTTCGCTGCGGCCCCGCAGCCCTTCACTGCGGCCACGCCGGTCTTCACTGCGGCCCCGCCGCCCGTCTCAGCGGCCCCGCCGCCCTTTGCTGCAGCCCCGCCGCCTCACACTGCGGCCCCGCCGCCTCACACTGCGGCCCCGCCGCCCTTCTCAGCGGCCCCGCCGCCCGTCTCAGCGGCCCCGCCGCCCTTTGCTGCGGCCCCGCCGCCTCTCTCGCTGCGGCCCCGCCGCCCTTTGCTACGGCCCCGCCGCCTCACATTGCGGCCCCGCCGCCTCACATTGCGGCCCCGCCGCCCTTCGCTGCGGCCCCGCCACCCTTCGCTGCGGCCCCGCCGCCTCACACTGAGGCCCCGCCGCCCTTCGTTGCGGCCCCGCCGCCCGTCTCAGCGGCCCCACCGCCCTTCGTTGCGGCCCCGCCGCCTCTCTCGCTGCGGCCCCACCACCCTTCTCAGCGGCCCCGCCGCCCTTCTCTGCGGCCCCGCCGCCTCTCTCACTGCGGCCCCGCCGCCCTTCTCAGCGGCCCCGCCGCCCTTCACGGCGGCCCCGCCGCCCTTCACTGCGGCCTCGCCGCCCCTCCCACTGCGGCCCCGCCACCTACCTTGCGGCCCCGCCGCCCTACCAGCGGCAAGGGAGGTGCTGCAGGCGGCTTCTGAGTACTTCGTGAAAGCGTATGTAGACCTACCGTCGCAACCCACCAAGGAACTTTGGCTGATTGAGGAGGGGAGGAGACTTCCTGAAGGAGACCGTTCACAACTTGGGGGAGAATGGTCGGAGCAGGGCTTCTCCCTGTCCGCAAGGGAGGACGCAGGAGGAGACGGTAGAGGGACACGCTGTGGAGAAGTGGACGGACAAAGTGCCATCTGGTGTGTGCCGGGGACTGGAGGAGGATGCGGACGCGGAACACGATGACTAGCACGAGCAGTGCGAACGGGTGACGCAGGATGAGATGCAGGCATACGACGCTCAGCAAGGCCTCCTATTGGACCAGTGTAAGGAGAGGGAGCAGGCAGTGGGGAGGCGGGCTGTAAATGCAACTGTGACGGGACAGGCGGTGAACACTCTAAGGGAGGAGCAGGACCAGTAGAAGGCGGGAGACCAAGAACCTGCTGAAGGAGCGGAACGAAGTACGGCAGCGGCCGCGCAGCGCCTCCAAAACCAGCAGAGTCAGCACCAGCACCCCTAGCGTCAGCTCCAACTCCCGCAGCACCACCAGCAGCTCCAGCAACGCCATCTCCCGTACCCCCAGGAGCACCAGCTCCAGTAGCTCCAGTAGGACGAGCGCCCGCGCCTCTAGCTCCAGCCCCTGCAGCACCACTAGCTCCAGCACCAGTAGTACCTCCAGGAGCTCCCGCTCCATTAGCACAAGCACCTTCAGCAGCTCCTGTTGGACCTCCAGTCCCAACAGCTCTAGTACCGCTAGTACGAGCACCTCCACGACCAGTGGCTCTAGCACCTCCAGCGCCAACCCCAGGGCGGGCCTCCACACCAGCACCAGTAGCTCCAGCGCCCTCAGCTCCAGCTCCAGTAGCACCCCCAGCTCCCACAGCACCACGTCGGCGGCGGTAGTGCCCAGAGTACCACTCACGCAGCTGCTGGGAAGAGAGAGTGCCCCCAGGCGCAGTACGGTCAGACGCAGCACCCCCAGACTCAGCACCCACGGGCGCAGTGCCTCCAGTCGTAGCACCACCAGGCTCATTACCTCCAAGCTCAGCACCCCCAGTCACAGCACACCCCTAGGCTCAGCACCCCGAGTCTCAGCACCCCTAGTCTCAGCACCCCTAGTCTCAGCACCCTCAGTCTCAGCACCCCCAGGCTTAGTTCCCCCAATCTCAGCACCCCTAGTCTCAGCACCCCCAAGCTCAGCACCTCCAGGCTCAGCACGCTCAGGCTCAGTATCTCGTGCAGTACCAGAGTCGACAACTACCTTGACAGGCTCGACCGGGTCTACCTGGGAAACACCTGAGGGAGAAGGGCCCTGGGGAGGTAGGGGGTCTACCGAAGCAGCACTTGGCGTGAGGAAGAGCGGCGGAGGGGGGAGCGGGGCAGTGCGGTAGGGGAAGAGACAGTAAAAGGGGACCGACTCGTCAAACGTGACGTCCTGAGAGGGTAGGACACGGTGCAAGGTGGGGTGGTAAAAGTGCCAGCCAGGCGCATTAGGGACGAAGCCAAGGAAGACACAAGGAACGGCGCGGGAGGAGAGCTTGTCCGCGGCACGAGATCCCCAGACCCGGAATACCGACGCATCACCAGCCTCTCCCGCCCAACGCAATGTTGGCGAGGTCTCCAGAACGGAGACACGGGGCCAGAGGTTGAGCTGATGCGCGGCGTACCGGACCGCAAACGACCACAGAAAATGGGGGGCAGCCGCATGGATCAAGGAGGTATGAGCGACCTCCATGACCAAGCCAATGCGGCGCTCAGTAACCCCATTCTGCTGAGGAGAGGCCGGAAGCGTGAACATCTGCTCAATGCCCTCCCCCCGACAGAAGGCTCTCAAGAGGCCAGAGGAAAACTCACCACCTCTGTCAGAGTGCAGTCGCAGGACGGGAAGGTCCGTGCGAAAGCGCCTCTCCAGCTGGATACAGGTAGCCCGGATCCAAGGGATCAAGACATCAAGGACCTCACCCTTGGTGCACAAGGGGAAGACCGTGGTGTAACGCGTGTAGTCGTCAACTACCAGCAAAAAGTAGCGCTCTCCACCCTGTCCACGGACACGGGCTGGGCCCCACACGTCCATGTGAAGGGTCTGCACAGGAGCCTCCGTCGCGGGAAACTCAGAGGAGTGAGGGGCGGCGCACTGCCGCCCCTCAACACAGGGAAGGCAGGGAGGGGCAGGGGACGGTGGCAGGGGAGGCAGTGACCTGGGGAGACCAAAGGCAAGGTAACGGGAGTGCATGCCACGAAGGCGCTGCATCAAAGGGTGACTAAAGCAGTGGTGCCAGAGGACCGTTTGGTGCGACAAGGTGCGACACGAGCAGGGGGCGGACAACTGACCTGAAGCAGACGCAGACGCAGCTACCTGAGGGGACTCAGTGGTCAGTGTGTACAGGTTCGAT